TGCCCAGGGTCCACTGTGTCTCATGGGTTCTGTACCCGCCTCCCATTGCTGCTGTCTCCATCCGCCACACTCTGCCATGTGCTCCACTTTCAGGTTCTCATCACGACTTGCTGTTGAGTTACCTTTTTGTCATGGGGTGCTGTATGGCCTCCATTGCTTGCTGCCATGGCCCGTAAGTCTGCATGGGCCCCCCTACCGACTCCTCATGCATGCTGCCAGGCCCGTAATCTGTCATGGGCGCCCTGTTGTCGCTTGTTGGCCATATTCTGCTCGTTCAGATGGCTCCTTCTCCTGCTACTCCTCTTTCACGGATTCCGTCAAGCAGTCTTTCTTGGAATCCGGTCTTCCAAGAGACAACAGTTTTGCGAGCACGCATGCACCGACGGGTGCAGGAAGAAACTGAACGTTGCCCTCCTGTCCAAAGTTCGCTGCTGCCAGGCTCGTAATCTGTCATGCGCCCTGTACCGCTACCTCATGCTGCTGCCAGGTCCAGAGTGTGTCAAGGGGCCCCCGTAACGACTCCTTCATGCTGCTGCCAGGCCCGTAATCTGTCATGGGCCCCTGTACCGCCTCCTCATGCTGCTGCCAGGTCCAGAGTGTGTCATGGGTCCCCTGTACGGCTCCCATTGCTGCTGCCAGGCCCTGTAATCTGCCATGGGTCCCCGTTACCAAACTCCTCATGCTGCTGCCCAGGCCCGTAATCTGTCATGGGCCCCTGTACCCGCCTCCTCATGCTGCTGCCAGGTCCAGAGTGGGCTCATGGGTCCCTGTACGGGACCTCCCATTGCTGCTGTACTCCATCGCCACACTCTGCCATGTGCCACTTTCAGGTCTCCTCACATACTGCTGGTGGGTTTCCAATTTTGTCATACGGGTGCTGTATGGGCCTCCCATTGCTGCGGCCTCCACCGCCACACATGTGGCTCCACACTCTGGTTTTGGCCCGTGACTGCCCAAATGAGTGAAGTGTGCGGTGATTCTAAGATCGACGGCACTCATCTGCATGTTTCATACTGACTGACAGTATTATTTCTCTTCCCAGCAGAAACTCCAAGGCATTTAAATTAAAGGTACAGTGTTTTGCACTAATATAAAGGCTCTCTGAAGCCTAGAAAACACCCTTTTATAAGTTAAATTCGCAGCGAATATATTTCGACTCGAATCGAAATTTTTTTCACGAAATTCGCCGACATCAGTCGAATCGAATTTTTGAATAATTCGCTCATCTCTAGTCTTAGGAGACCCTGTGAAAGGGTTGTTCGACCCCCAAAGGGGTAGCGACCCCAACAGGTTGAGAACCGCTGCTCTATACTCATAAGGACTGAGGCAGCAGGGGAGCAATGGACTGCTGAAGCTGACTATCAAATGCAGGGAACTGGGACAGGACCAAGTCCAGCTGTGTGTGTCTATGGATGCACCCAGCTCGGCTTGGGATTGTGCCCACTTGTCTTCTGCCATGCCCCCACAGCAAGCGACCAAGATCGTTGTACATTTAGTATCTGCTATTTATTTTATTATTAGCAGGTAAATATAACATTATTTAAATTTTTAAAAAGAGCCTTTGGGAAATGCTTTAATATTGGTTGAGTATTACACTCTCTAGCTTAGCTAGATATCAATTTTTTGTTTTTTATTTTTCTAGGCAGAGTAGCAGCCTGGGATGAGTCAGCCTGTGAGTGAGGCATGAGTTCACCTCAAAACAGGCTAGGGAGGTTCTAAGGTCAGAGCTTCTGGAGCCTTCTCACCTCTCTCCAGGAACCTGAGAGCTTTCTGGAGGCGGGATGGAGGAGGAGAGGAAGCTCAGATTTCCATGCCAAACCTCAAGAAGCGTACAATCTAAGGTCCCTAACTCACATTCCTACATCACATACTAGGGCCAGTTTAGACAGGATCCAATTCACCTACCAGCATGTCTTTGGTATTCACACAAATCATATTTTCCCTTAAAGTGTATATATTGGCAATTGTTTTGATAGTGTAGGGAAGAGTTAGACGCTCTGAACTGCAGTTTATGTCACCATTGTAGAGATTTCCCCTTCTAATTCTCTTGGTGACCACTGTCACTGAGACTGCAAGTAAGGGGAAATCCAGAAATCCTGAGTCGTTATTGCAGCAATATGTAAGGAAACACTCTGTAATGGGAACATGTTCTTGCAACAAGTCTAAAATGGGAATTCAGCTTTACTTGAGATTTAGTGCCCGGTCACACCGGTACGATTTCAGGTGCAAATTGCGTACTGAAATGGCATATAATGAATGTGAATGTCAGTGTCTTAACAGTTTTGCTGTGATATCACATACATAGAATATAATGGAATCACACTGCAAATTGCAAGAAATCGTTGAAAATCTTCACAAGTAGCAATAAAGTCTTCAGCAATCGCACCTGAAATCGCTATGAAATTGCACACAAATGGCGCAATTTTGAATCACAGTGGTGTAAACGGTGACTTACAGGCCATTCCAGTGGCTTACACGTTCAAATTCCGAACAATTTTTCATCCGAAAATCGAACCGTCGTTCATTCTGTAATCCCATGGTGCCATCAATGATTTTGAAATTCGGTAGTTTTTTCATGATTTTCCAGCACGACTGATAAACGAAATGGGGAGGAATCATGAAAATCAGCCAATGCTATTTCCCCACTAACAGAGCGAAATTCGGCCAATTATTCATAGGTCCGATTTTTTGTACGAAACTCGTACGTAATTTGAATCATGTATGGCCTGCATTAGTTTCTATTGTGTCTTCAGGACAGGAAGTAAAGAAACCCCCCTCACTGGACACAAACAGCAAAAAAAAACTTGCTGCTGGGGGGGGGGTTTCTGCATATAAACCTTGAATTGTTGGTGTCACAAAGCATAAAGTGATTGTAAAGGCTAAGATTTATTTTAAAAAATAACAAACATGCACAGAGCGGCCTTGAACCTCCTCTTCTGTGTGGTCCCTTTCTGGCTTTCTTGGCTACTACTCTTCTCCATGCACCACCATAGGAATTCCTATGGGGGTGCACATGGGGGCTTGCTACTGAGCCGGAATGTGTGCATCCATAGATGTACAGAGCATGGCTTGGCCCCATCCCCCTGCTCTCTGCCCACTGGATTTAACTTGACAGCTGCAGAAGCCAATGGCTCCCACTGCTGTCTCTCTTTCCTGTGAATGCATGGTGAGAGGAGAGAGCTGCTAGAGATGGACCCTGGATCAGCCCTGGAACGAGTGAGAATTCATGTAAGTATAAGGGAAGATGAGGGGGAGATACAAATACTGGGACATTTTTTTACCTTAACCACTTCCCATCTGGCCGTTGTATATAAACGGCCGGACGGTGGCAGTGCAGGGGAGGGTTGCCATTCATTAATGGTGCCCCCCATATTGGACTGTGCGCGCTCCATGGGAGCACACGGCACCACAATCCGGTGCTGTACACCGATCACTGTATGGGACCTCTGTGTGACTCTGTGGCCAATCAGTGATCACATGAATAGGTGTAAAGCAAGATGTCACTTCTGACATCATTGCTTATTATGTGTAAAATCTGTGAATGATCACAAAGATCACATGGTGATCACATTCACAACAGCCTTGTACCATGCGACAAGCTGTGACCAATCACAGCTCACACAGTATTTCTCAATGGCTGCAGGAATGCAGCCAGAGAAAAGGAAAAATGATTGCTTTTACAGCCTTTATAGGTGTAAAAGCAATCAGTGTAAAAAAAAAAAAATCTTCATTACACTATACACTCTATACTACACTATACACTATACACTATACACTATACACACTATACAGTATAGTGACACTGTACTGCTAGGGTGACAGTATGTTAAAAAAACCATAAATAATAATATAAAAAATTTAAATACATTTGTAAAAAGATATTTTTGAAAAATTATAATTTTGGTTATAAACTAATTTGGGTTTTTTTTTTTTTACTAAAAAGATAACTGAATACATTTTGGCCAAGATTTATGAAGAAATATTATTTATTTGCAAATTTGTATAAGAAAAACACTTTTTTTCAAAATTTTTGGACTTTTTCAATTATATAGCAAAAAAATAAATAAAAATCCCAGTGGTGAATAAATACCACCAAAATAAAGTTTTATCTGTCTCAAAAAAATGCTAAAAAATTCATATGGGTACAGTGTGTTGCATGACCGCGCAATTGTCGTTCAAAGTGTGACAGCGCTGAAAGCTGAAAATTGGCCTGGACAGGAAGGGGGTAAAAGTGTCCGGACATGAAGTGGTTAAAGCAGGGAATGTACTAAGGTACAAAATGCCCAGCCGTTAGAACCACTTTAAGGTTTTCCTAAAGAATAGACTTAGTAGCTGCTTTCAGGCTGCCTCTCTCTGATTACATTTCTTCATCAGGTGGAAGTTGGGGAGGGGATAATGAGCAAATCATTTACCTTCTTCAGCCAAGTGTGTAATTTATAGTTTTGGATGTAACAGGAAAAGCATACAACCCCTATACAGTTCTACAAGCTAACTGTGTCTACTTTGGAGAGATTTGTCCACACTTCCTGTGTTGTTTGCTGCCAGTCTCCTAACATGAAGGGAGAAATAAATCATCCCTATAGGAAAAACAAACAATACACAAGGCCTGTGAGAGGTTCTAGCCCTTAAATACACTGCTAGAAAAAAAAGTCTTATTGCAATAAGTGTCCTGTTAGGGAAGATTTCTGCTATTTTCCAATTCTGCATGTGACAACCATCATACATACAGCAATAAGACTTTGTCCACATACTGTACATGCGTTTTGCGTTTGATGCTTTCTCCAGTGCTTTTTGCAGTTTGTTTTGCATTTTTCTACTTTCATTTTTGACGGGTTGTCACCACAATTTTTTCAGCTTTTTTTTTTTTTAAAGTGGATTTTTTTTTGCTTCTGGGCAGAATAAAAATGCAAAATGCAAAACTCAAAACACGGCAAAAACACACTACCATGCATTTCAGCAGCTTCTCAATTGAACTCCATTCATATAGTGAAGGTTTCTTCCAGGGGCGGACTGACCATTTGGGAACTAGGGCACTGCCCAAGGGCCCGGGGTCAGTAGGGGGCCCCATGAGATGCCCCTGGTACCTTTTCATAGGCTTTTTTGGGTGTGGTTTGAGTGTGGGCGAGGACACAGGGGCCCCATGCTCCCCTGTTGCCCGGGGGCCCCATGAGTTGTCAGTCCACCCCTGGTTTCTTCACACTGAGAGCTGTGAAAATGTGGAATAGACTCCCTCAAGGGTTGGTTCTGGCCAGCTCTGTGGATTGCTTCAAAAAAGGCCTGGATTCTTTCTGGATACTGGATGCTAACCAGGGGCGGACTGACAACTCATGGGGCCCCCAGGCAATTGGGGATCATGGGTCCCCTGTGTCCTCACCCACACTCAAAGCACACCCAAAAAGCCTATGAAAGGTACTGGGGGCATCTCATGGGGTCCCCTACTGACCCTGAGTCAGTGCCCGAGTGCCCAAATGGTCAGTCCGCCCCTGATACTAACAGTTTTTTAGATAAAGTTGATCCAGGGAATATTTGATTGCCTCTCGGGGGATCAGGATGGCATTTTTTTCCCTGCAGGAGCAAATTGGATCATGCTTTGCTGGGTTTTTTTTTGCCTTCCTCTGGATCAACTGTGGGTATACGATTATAACTCCTTTTTTTTTCATGGTTGAATTGGATGGAGTTTTGTCTTTTTTTCAGCCAGACTATGTAACTATGAACTCTATTGGCTCCAAAACGCTGCCTTTCGCTTTTGAGTCCTCATGCACACTTTTTACAGCAGCTTTTTTTGGCTTTTTAATTTGGACATTTTTACAGCAGCTTTTTTTGGCTTTTTAATTTTTTTTCTATAGCCAGTAAACCCCCCCGCATGTTATCCTATGTGTCCATGCACGCATAGACTGTAATGCATGTTTTTTTGGCTGGGAAAAAACCCAGGACTAGTGGGTTTCTAGAGGAGTTTTTTAGCTGTAAAAATTCTGAAAAACGAGGCAAGACGCAGTAAAACGCCGCAAACCAGCATTTTTTGGACTTTTTTTGACCCAAAAAAGCTAAAAACGCTGCTAAACGCCAATGCAAAAATGCTACAAAAAGCTAAAAAACTCATGTTTTTAACGTGACTTTACACGGCTAACGTTACCAGCAATATCAAAACACCCCGTGTGCATGGAGCCTGAAAAAGTCCCTGACCCTTTCCAAAAATGCAGCAGCTCAAAAAAGTATAGATGTGAACATGTTTCATAGGAAACCATGTTAAATGGACTGTCGTGCGTTTTTGCAAACAGCACTAAAAAACTAATTGGTGTGAACGGAGTCTAAAAGCTCAACAGAGACTCAAACATTCTCTGAAAAAAAAAAAAAAAGCAGGATGTAATTGCAGACACTCAGAGGAAGCTAGACATACCTTTCATTATCTTTACAAACACAAAAACCTGTGACACAGAATCCCAATGACACCGTTGTGTCTCTATAAACTCCGGTTTTTACTTTTTTCCTGTACATATAGGTAGGTGGAGGCTGCTGTATATCTTACAAACTGAAGGTGGCACTGTGCTGTTTCTTCAGGCTGGCAAGAGCCCATTGAAGATTAATTGTCTCCTGCGTTGGGCTTCAGGCAGCCATCTTGGGGAGGATGTCCATCTGGATACTGAAATCCTGCAAGATTGGGCAGCCATCTTTATTGAGAAATGGAAAATTAGTGGAATTCTGTGTTATTCAGGGTGCACCCAGTGTAAAATGATGATGGGGATAGAGCCCTCATTAATTAGGGATAGAATAGGAGTAGTATTAGGAAGAGGTACCTGTTGACGTAGGGTGTCTCATCTTTCAGCTTCCTTCAACAATAACAAAAATTGTTGATAACAAAATGGGCAGCTCAGTGGCTAAGTGGTTAGCACTTCCGCCTGGCAGTACTATGGTTGTTGATTTACATCCCAACCATGGCACCACCTGCCTGGAGTTTGCATGTTCTCCCTGTGCTTGCGTGTGTTTTCCTCCAGGTACTCCAGTTTCCTCCCACCCTCCAAAGACATGCTGGTAGGTTAATTAGATTCTGTCTAAATTGTCCCTAGTATGTGTATGAATGAATGGAAGTTAGGGACCTTAGATTGTACGCCCCTTGAGGGTTAAGGACTGATGTGAATGTACAATATATATGTAAAGTGCTGCATAAATTGACAGTGCTATATAAGTACCTGAAATAAATAAATAACATTTGGGGATTGCAGTGTGAACACACAATATCATAGCCCATAGTAGGGAAGTGTTTCTATGGTATGTGACTGATATTTTACTCTTTGAAAAGTGCCTTGTGAAAAAGTAGTTCTTTCTTCTGCCCGAAGTAATGTATGACCTGCAGCTTATGTAGTGCTAATGCTGTAATGTTGCTATTGGAAAGGGCCTTGCGGATAAGGAGTGCCCTCTTCAGCCTGAACAAGTGTATGACCTGCAACGTTTCGAGTGTCATTTACTGTAAATTGCCTTGTTTCTGTGTACAGTCAATCTCTACAATATATCATATGACGTCCTCCCAGAACGTGCCCTCCCGTGAGCCCCGGGGGCACGCACACAGCTATCTCCGTGATCACTGTGTCCTATGGACACAGCTGATTACGTGATGTGGTAAAAGGCCAATCACAGCGGCCTTTTACCACACGTGACTTTACACAGCTAACGTTACCAACGTTAGCAAAATGTCCAGTGTGCAGAGCCTAAAACAAAGTGCGCCTTCTACATACAGCCATTTCTGAAACGCACGTGCAAACGGGCGGACTGACAACTCATGGGGCCCCCGGCAATAAGTGATCATGGGGCCCCTGTGTCCTTGCCCAAACTCAAAAATGCTTATGAAAAAGGTACCAGGGGCATCTTATGGGGCCCCCTACTGACCCCGGGCCCTAGGGCAGTGCCCAAGTTTCCAAATGGTCAGTCCGCCCCTGCGTGCAAACCTCCCATACTGAAACAAGTAAGCTACTAAGATGCTGCCCTACCTATGCCTATACAAGTCCTTTTGATTACATAAATACTATGCATGTATTCAACATATTCAATAAAATAATGGAAGTCTTCTGTTAATTGTCTGTGTTAGATTTCTGTGTCCCAGTTATTCATGTCCTGGTTTTCTAATACACCATGTCATTCCACATTATTTGTGCACTTCTTTGCTGGTTATTTATTGCCCACCTCTTCATCCACCTTTTCAGTAATTCCCACTACCTTTCATAGAATGCTCTCACCTTCAAGCATAGACCTAATATATGTCTAGTCTGGCAGTGCTTTCCCTTTATCAGATCAATAAGCAATATGGTGCAATATACAATTCCTACTTCAGTACCTCCAATTCAGTAACACCTGTCAAGCCAAGTGTATACCCCAGCTCTTTTATATTAAGTGCAGAACACTGTACCTTTAAGTTTCTAAATGGCCCTTGGAGTCCCCCCTGGGGCTTGGGAATAGAAATAATTCGGTCATCAGATGACATGCAGATGATGGCCGTCGATCTTAAATCACCGCACACGTTCACTCATTTGGGCCAGTCACGGGGCACGACGAAGGAAGAAAAGAAGAAGAAGAATGAAAATAAGAATGAAAAGAAGAAAAGAAAGAATGAATAGAATGAAGAAGAAGATGAAATGTAGATTGAAAAGAAGAAGAACCGGTAAAGAAGAAGACGAAACGAAGATTTTAAATGAAGAAGAAGATAGATCTGTATTTTTAAGAATGAAAAGAATGAAAAGGGATGGAATGAGATAAAAAAGGAGAAGAAGTCGAAAAGATGTTATTGATAAGAATATAGAATTAATGAATGAAGAGTGAAGAATAAGATAAGAAGAAGAATGAAAAGAAGAATGAAAAGAAGAATGAGACGATTGAAAGAAGAATGAAGAGAAGAAGAAGGTTAAGAAGGATGAAAAGACGATTCACTAAAATGAAAAGCACAAAAGCAAGAAACGAAAATGAAGAGAAGAATGAAAAGAAAGAAGAAAAGAATGAAAAAGAGAGAAGAAGAAAGTGCCAAAAGAAGAGAAGAAGACATGAAGATCTAAGAAAGATTAAAGAAGAAGATAGAAAGAATGAAGAAGAAGAATGAAGAGTAGGAAGAAGAAGAATGAATACAGAAGAAGAATGATATAGAAGAAGAATGACCGAGTAAGAAGAAGAAGAATGAAAGAGAAGAGAGAGAGAAGAATGAAGAAGAAAGATGAACATGAAGAAGAAGGAGGAATTGAAAAGAGCACGAGAGAGATAAGAGAATGAAAACTATGATAAGAATAAAGCAAGAATAAAAAAGATGAAGAGGATGTCAAGAAGAAAGGATGAAGAGAAAGAAGAAGAAGTAAGGAAAAGAAGAATTGAGTAGAATACCACAACATTGAACTTAAAATTAGAGAAATAAAGAAAACGGAATAGAATATTGTAAAGATTAAAATGAAAAGAAGAGAGAAGAAAGAAGCAACGAAAAGATGCAATGAAAGGAGAAGAAGAAGAAGAATGAATTCAGCAGTCTACAACTAAAACGAAAGCATTAGACGAAAAAACAATGAAAGAGAAGAAGGAAGAGAAAAGCGAGAAATGGAGAAGAGAAGAATAAAATAAAAGAAGAGAAAGAAGAGAAGAAGAAGATGAATGAAGAGATAATGCGCAGAAAGTCATACATGAAAATAGCGAGTGAGAAGAAGAGAAGAATGAGAAGAGAAGTAAAGAGAAATGAGAGAGAAACTAGTAGATTAAGAAGAAAAGAAGAGAAGATGATGAAAAGAGAGATTTGAAAATAATAAAGAAAGATGATGACGAGTGAATCCTAGAAAAGAGAGAAAGTGAAAATGAAAGAAAAAGAAGGGAGATTAGTTGTTGGAAGAGTTGAAAAGAAGATTATTTTGTATTTGTTATATTGTAAAAGAAGTTGCGAAAAGAATAATGTTTAGTTTTTTTGATGAACTGAAAAGTTACAGTTGTTTATTTTTTTTTTGGTTTGTAGTAGTATTTTGTTGAAAAGTTTTTAAGAAGAATGTTGTTGTAAAGTTATTGTTTTTATGAGTTGTTTTTTGAGTTTTGTTTTGAATTGAGTTTTAAGAATGAAGTTTGTTTAGTAAAGAGAGAAGAAGTTTTTAAGAGATAAGAAGGGATGGGGGGAGTATGTGATAAGAAGTAGGATGTATAAACAGTTTGTTGTTTTTTGTTGATTTGTTTAAAAATGATAAGAGTAGAAGAAGTTTTTTTTGATATGAGGGTTTTTTTAAAGTTTTTTGTTTTGTTTTTATGGGTTTTTTGTTTTGTTGTTTTTGTTTTTTGAATGTTTTTTTTTTGTTTTTTTTTGTTGTTTTTTAGGTTTTTTTGTTTTTTACATGTTTTTTGTATTTTTATAAGATTTTTTTGTTTTTTTTTTTAAATGTTTTTTTTTGAAGAAGATTTGTTTTTTTTGTTGAATGTTTTTTTTTTTTTTGAAGTTTTGATTCCCAGTTTTTTTTTTTGTGTTTTTTTTGTTTTTTAATAATGGTTTTATCTAGGTTTTTTTTGGAATTGTTTTTTTTTTTTTGTTTTATTTTTGAACCATATTTGTGATGGAGTAGAAGAGTGGGAATAATCATTTTAACATTGCTGAAATTGAAGGGACAGCGGTTATGTATCTATTTATTTATCGATGTGGTCGTTGTATAAAAACTCTCTGTATCCTAAATGGTTAAACACAAATCAAGATATACAATTTTCAACTGCTGTAAATTAAACTGTCAGAACTGTCAGAGATCTGTCAGAAATAGCGGAGCTCTCTGCAGTGACACTTATTTGCTGCCGGCTGATCGGGGAATAATTAATAGATTCGTGCATCCGAAAGTTTGCTAAAATTCGGATTCGTATGCGAATCAAATGTTTTTTTCCGAATATTCGATAATAAATTCCACGTTTCGACGAAATCACCCTTATCACTGTTGATGTTCTCATAATTCTTTCTTTCATACTATGTACTGTTTGATGCACTGCAAAACCAAATAAAGACAAATTTGCCTTTAAAATATATCTACGATTTGAAAACGTGCTGTAAAAGTGTGAAAATGCACGATCACAGGGCATTTTTGCCACAATTGCAGGACGTGTAACGCACAAAAAAAAGGTTCTGCAACCTTTTTTGAGCGTCGCACGTCACGCGATTATTCTGCAATAAGCCAGACTGAGTGTAATCTTGAAGCTTTATTAACAGAACAGGGTGGTGAAACTATTCAGAAAAACAGATAAGAAGTACATACACATTTATATTAGATACTTTTTAAATGATCTGACAAGAATGAATGATGGAAAGACTCATTCCATAGACCAAGGATCCACTTCATCAGGTGGTAGCAAGAGGCGACTAATACATGTATTGAGAATAAAAGCCAGCACATTGTATGAGATCATTGTCACCCCTTAGAACATGCAATATGCTTGGGGAGGGCTACACGGGATCACAGAGGGAACAGGGGCGGACTGACCATTTGGAAATTCGGGCACTGCCCGAGGGCCCAGGGGTCAGTAGGGGGCCCTATGGGATGCCCCTGGTACCTTTTTCATAGGCTTTTTTGAGTTTGGGCAAGGACACGGGCCCCATGATCTCTTATTGCCCGGGGGCCCCATGAGTTGTCAGTCCGCCCCTGAGAGGGAAGCATAATCCATAAAAATAGATGGTCAACTTAAAGTGATATCAAACCCACAACAGTAAAATCAGTCTGTATATGCAGTAAAGCATGCTTGTTATACTCACTGTGGAACCTAAGGGTTAATTCTCTGCATTGTGTAAACAAAATATGTTTGATCCTGTCTTCTCTGATCCTCCCCTTCTACTGTCCCCAATCCATCTGCTGATAGAACAGAGACTTGGGGGTAAGCTGCACATGCTCAGTTTGGTGTGTATTGCTAGAGATTTTTTTTTGTATTGGAAGAGTGCAAGTTATCAGCAAAGGGTCAATCAGCGATGTCTAGACACAGGGTCAGGGGTCATGCAGCCTCATAGGACTATTAGGGGAGAATGAGAACTCCTCCTACAAACTTTAACCAGTGCTCAGCTGGACACTGAGAGAAGTCACAAGACTGTTATATACTGCTGATGAGAAAAGGTATAGCAGTTTAGTTTATATTTACTAAAATAATTGCATTTCCATGTTCTGTGTACTGAGGGAGACTAGATATAGTGAATGCAGGGTCCTGGGTTTAGTAACACTTTAAGGCCAACCTATTCATATATCCTTATATTGTATGCCAGCAAAAGATAAAGAAATGGCCTTTCCAAGTGAAGGTCCAAAAAAGATTTACAACTAGGTCATAAGCTCTTATCTGCATGTGGTTTTCACTTGTGAAAATACATTTTTTCCAAAATTAAATGTTAAAAGCATAGGAAATTTTGAAGTGCTTTCAAACAACATTCATCAAGTCTCTGTAGGCATTATCAAATATACTGATGGGATTTTTTGTCCAAAGATTTGTACGAAAAAGTATGGCCAGCTTTACTTTCTAGGCTGAAGGTGTATTGTGTGGGAAATCATCAAATCTTAAACCTTTTGCAGATCTGAGCGTGTGGATGGTAGACGTTGTGCTTTTTAAATTCATTTAGATATTTCTCAAGGAAAGTTTCATGCTGTTTCTTTACCTTTTTGGCCCCACAGTATATGGATATAGGAAAAGGCTAGCCATGCTTTTCCTCTAAAAACAAATCTGGTCTAAATTATCGTTCCTTTTAAGAGCTCTCTGACAACAGGCCATCTGTCTGCCATCATGCACATTTGATGGTCACGATTGAGCCAAAACAGCTGGATCAAGCAATGGTCCTTTCATGTCTATGGGTTGCGTCAGAGTATACAGGACGTCTATGAAGGCAACTATCAATTTCCTCTCTTCCGTTTGTGTTAATGCAGATTTTGATTGCACGCAATCCCAGATCACTTGCTGAATACTATGGCATTTCCCATGAGCGATTAGAGAGTAGCTTCTGGTTCCTCCATGCAAGTTTTGCTGCTTGTTGCCTTTGGTGTGTCACAGCAGTGAGACTCCCATCTGTGGAGCTCTTATGAAATACAACTAGTAAGGCTTCCCCTGACAGCCATGGTCATTGACAATCTGGAACTAATGAACAGTGGGTACATATAGCCTGCAGCATCGAGCAAGATAGAAAAAGAACCACAATGAAAGCATGGTAAGATACAGATAATTGTATGCAGTACAGAGCCAGAGAGAGCTGGTGGTGAAGAAGTAGAATAGAACAGATGACAGAACATGCTTTGCAGCAGAGAGGTAGTGGAGGAGGCACAGAGGAGACATGCACAATGTGCAGTACAAATTCACGGGTAGACGGAGCTACAGCGGATAAACGAAATAGTGAAAATAGCCTGCAGCACAGAACCTGGGAAAGACCAAGTCACAATAGAAAAGTGAAAGGGTTATCAAAATACAGACAAAAGCCATTTCTTGAGCCCATTTTGCCTATATTTGTGAACCACAAAGATGAAACCTCCCCCAGGAGAGGACATTGACCTGAGTTCGGAAATCCAAATGTAAGAAGCAGGGGCGGACTGACAACTCATGGGGCCCCCGGGCAATAGGGGATCATGGGGCTCCTGTGTCCTTGCCCAAACTCAAAAAAGCCTATAAAAAAGGTACCAGGGGCATCTCATGGGGCCCCCTACTGACCCTGGGCCCTCGGGCAGTGCCCGAGTTTCCAAATGCTCAGTCCGCCCCTGGTAAGAAGTCAAAGAGAAAATAGCCTGCAGCAGAGAATCTGAGAACGATCAAGCCACAATAGAAAAGTGAAAGGGTTATTGAAATACAGACAAAAGCCATTTCTTGAGCCCATTTTGTCTATATTTGGCAACCACAAAGATGAAACACCCCCCCCAGGAGAGGACATTGACCTGAGTTCAGAAATCCAAATGTAATAAGTCAAAGAGAGCGCCAAATGAAAAAAACCTTAGGAGTACAAAATCTTTATTGTTCAACTGGTTACAACAAGCAGGGCAAATAATAGTCAACATATTTCAAGGGCCACACAATCCCCCTTCATCAGGTCTGGTGTTCACAGTAGAAAAGGGAAAGGGCTGAATGTTGTTTATAACCTCCTCTGCCTACAGATCAGTCTGTTTAGGAGTACTTTTGAGTCCATTTAACATTCTACCATTTCACCCAGCCCTGATGAAGATGGATTATGTGGCCCCCGAAACATGTTGGCTGTCATTTACCCTGCTTGTTATCAGATGAACAATAGTTTGGGCTCCTAATGATTTTTCATTTGGCAAAGAAGGGTATGGTAGTGCCAGAATGAGAGGAAGAGTATGGCCGTACCAGAATGAGAACAGGGATGAGTTGTTGCACACTCCCTAAAGTTAAAAAAATAAATGTGCGTAATTACCCCTCACAGTTGACATGAAACAGGAGCATCGTTTGCTTACTAGGAGTTTGACAGCTTGAGGCTGCCTAGCGTCCTGTTGTTCTCCATCACGTCAGCTCTGATGGCATATTGGAGGAGCTGTTTTGCCTGTGTATAATTTAATTGGTCAATGCGAATCCAATTACACATTGGAAATGGCTCTTCCCACGGACCAGCAAAGTGGACCTGATGGGAAACTAAAACAGTATGACGCTAGACAGCCTTAAGCCATCTACCTGCTTACAGGAAGTAACGTTCTCTCTTGATATTATATAGTATTTGTTTATCCAAGATATTTGTAGTTTACATTTTCTAAATCGTATGACCTGATGAAATATATGGTTGAAAGATTCTGGGTTTATTTGCATAGCATATAAAGGGCTTTATTGCAAAAATCAAATGTATCGTAATAATAAAAAAAAAACAAATGTTATGAAAAAGGGAAAAAAAAAGCTCCAAAGCAGAAACAAATGGTAAAGAAAGAAAAATCAATTTGCTTTTTTTAACCAAATTCCTCAAATGCCTGATATTTTCATGTTTTATTCATAACATGACTCAGGATTCAATGGTACTTTCTTCGTTATGATCTGATCTTTGTATCTGAAATTGACATCAGTAGTGTAGCACTTGTTGCGATCATAGGTGTAGCACTCGTCATCCGATCTACTACAGCTGGCCTGAGATGCTAGAATTGGTATTCCTCCAATTTCAAGCTGTACTGGATCACATTTTTGGCAGCTGAAACACAATTATAGATATTTGTTACAATATATCATATATGTGAACTGTGGGATATACAGAAAACTCCAAAATGTAATTCTTGACTTTTGTTTTTTTAAATGTACAGTTGTTATGAATTTTGCATAGAATAATATGTATTTCCATATTGTGTGTACATCAATAAACTGGTTAATTAGCAACTCATAAAATATACTACTGTTTAAAAATATCCAACTTACAGAATGATTCATTGTGGATTTATATATAAAGTGTTGTTCTTAGGAACAGCCTTTCTAAGGTCTCTTGCACACAGGTGGAAACAATACTGTTGCATTTTTTTAATTACTATTTTCTATGGACCAATACACACAGCCACATAAAAAATAATTATATACACAGTATACAGGCGAGCGCTAGTGGAATTAAGGAAGCAGCTAGCACTTAAGGTATAGGTAACAATCCCAATAAATGTAAGTAAAAAAGAAGTGCAGCGCTAAAAACACACAATCTATAAATTAGGTGGAACAGCCAAGTGCAGCATAAATGTGTATATACTTTTCGTAAGTATAAATACAACAATAAATAAATAAAAGTCTGTGAATGATTGTGACAATCCGTGCACTAAAGTGCAAAAAATCATTAGCAGTGTTTGTGGTTGTAAATATTAAATTACAATTCCATCCAACAAGTTCGTTCAGATAGTGTCCTAATGTTCGTAAAGCGGCAGCCAGGGGGTTAATCGAACTGCTCAACTTGGGCTTAGGTGGAAGAACGGACCTTTGTCCTATGGAAAATAGCTCAATGCCAAGAGCCAGAAATATGTATATAGTGTAGTATTTTATTTATATTAATAATAATCTTCCAATAAAGCATAGAAATCCACGTGGAGTATAAGATAAGCAAATAACAAATACCAAAATGGCCGCCGCTCCGTCCTTCGGCAGCGGCGCCATGACGTCAGCAATGTAGGCTCCACCCGACGTGTTTCGTGCGCATGCAAGTCCTCAGGGGTACGCCCATGTATTTGGTATTTGTTATTTGCTTATCTTATACTCCACATGGATTTCTATACTTTATTGGAAGATTATTATTAATATAAATAAAATACTACACTATATACATATTTCTGGCTGTTGTCATTGAGCTATTTTCCATAGGTCAAAGGTCCCTTATTCCACCTAAGCCCAGATGGAGCAGTTGATTAACCCCCTGGCTGTTACTTCACCTCTAGATGTGACATATCATATATATATCTGATACCATATACCTTCTGGTGAGTGTACATTCGTCCAAGGTGGTGCATTCCTTTTTGTGATTGTTCACACTCTCACATCCTGTACGTTGAAAGTATTGCACTTTACCAACATTAGGACACTATCCGAACAAATTTGTTGGATGCAATTGTAATTTAATATGTGCAACCACGAACATCGCTACTGATTTTTTTGCACTTTAGTGCATGGATTGTCACAATCATTCAAGGACTTTTATTTATTTATTGTTATATTTATACTTACGCAAGGTATATACACATTTATGTTGCACTTGACTGTTCCACTTAATTTATAGATTGTGTGCACTTCTTTTATACTTACATAAAAAATAGTAAACTTGCTCTGCATAAGGTCCATTAAAAAATTAAAAAATAGTAAAATGTGCATCTGATGTCCAGAGTTTGGACCATATTTACACTGTACACTTGTAAACGTTTGTACTAACATTTACATGCATACAGCATAGAGCTCAAATACACTCAATTAGAGGTGACTGCATCCTAGCAACAAAAGATGCTAGACAGCAGGGACCACCTAGCATCTTATGCTTGCTAGGAGTTTGACAGCTTGAGGCTGCCTAGCATCCTTCTGTTGCAGAAGCTCTGATGGCATATTGAAGGAGCTATTTTGCCTGTGTATAATTTAATTGATCGATGCCAATCTAATTATACATAGGCAGAAAGGGCTTTCCCACCGACCAACAAAGTGGACATGATGGGAAAATAAAACAAAATGACGCTAGACAGCCTCAAGCCATCTAACTCCTAGCAAGCAAAAAACCTCATGATGGCTCTGCCCTCCATGTCCCATAAAATCGACTCTGATTGAAAGAATATGGCAGTACCAGAATGAGAACAGAGACGAGTTGGTGCATACTCCCTAAAGTTAAAAAAATAAACATGCATAAGTACCCCTCACAGTTGATATGAACAAAGTGGACCAACAAAGTGGACCTGATGGGAAACTAAAACAGAATGACGCTAGACAGCCTCAAGACGTCCATCTCCTATCAAGCAAAAGACCCCATGCTGGCTCCGCCCTCCATGTCCCATCAAATCCACTCTGAGAGGAAAAGTATGGCAGTACCAGAATGAAAACAGAGATGAGTTGTTGCACACTCCCTAAAGTTAAAAAATAAATGTGTGTAAGTACCCCTCACAGTTGACATGAAACAGGAGCATCTTTTGCTTGCTAGGAGTTTGACAGCTTGAGGCTACCTAGCGTGCTTCTGTTGTTCTCCATCACGTCAGCTCTGATGGCATATTGGAGGAGCTGTTTTGCCTGTGTATAATTTAATTGTTCGATGCAAATCAAATTATACATAGGCAGAAATGGCTCTTCCCACCGACCAACAAAGTGGGCCTGATGGGAAACTAAAACAGAATGACGCTAGACAGCCTCAAGTCATCTACCTGTAGCAAACAAAAGACCCCATGTTGGCTCCACCCTCCATGTCCCATAAAATTCGCTCTGGTTGCTGGTAGGAGGAACCACTTCTGCCTGTGTATAATTTGATTGGCTCAGAGATGCAACACTCCACACCCCATGTCCCATCAAGTCCACTGTGATGAAGGATGAGTAATGTTTGCCTCTGTGTAATTTGATTGACTCAAGGCAAAAACGGCTCCTCTCCTGGCTATCAGAGCAGACCAGATGGGGAATCGAAAACCAAAGAATGGGTTCCTAGCAACAGAAGAACCCTAGATGGCTCTTGCTGCTTTTCATTGCTAGGATGCTCCAATAAAGTACATTACATGTAAGCATGTAACCATCACAACATATTCCTGCTGTCTATCAGGACATTTGCCACATGTTTTATCTCCTTAAAATGTTTCAAATGCTGAAGGATACCTCTTGATCCTGCCAGAAATCCCATGAGCTTCTAACTTTACACTCTTTCTGTGCTGCATTGAAATCTCTAGCATTGTTATCAGAACTGCCCATTTCATGTCTGTAAACAACAGAACATCTCTCCCCTATGTTATGGAGGCAAGAAGATGGGGGATGTTCTGAATCAGGAGCAGCCTAGGATGGGAATGCTATTTCACTGTATATACAGTACAGTGGGTGAGCAGCGTCGCCCTATGAAAGAATGTAATTATTGCCAGGTTTACAAGTTGACTAAGGAAAGAAAAGCTTAAAAATAAGGAAACAAATGCAGCCACTGAATCCCTCCCTCCTAGATTGTAAGCTCCAAGGAGCAGGGCCCTCAACTCCCTCTTGTATTGAACTGTATTGTTACTGTATTGTCTCCCACTGTAATGTAAAGCGCTGAGCAAACCGTTGGCGCTATATAAATCCTGTAATAATAATAATCTAAGGACTTAGAAGCTGCAATATATTAAATGTTTGGTTCAGATAAATTTTACAATAACTATGCCATCAAGGTATAAACTTTGATAGTAGGCTGTTTATAATGCTTTCACTGTTTTCTTTGTGGCAGACATATAGCTTGGTTACATAATAAATCCATTAAAGTATAAATATAGGTGTAGTGCTACCCCTAAAGGAGCCACTTCATAATTTGGGTTCTCTCTTTGCACCTCAGCTCCAAGAAAAATCTCAGCCCCTCTGATAGACCTGGTTGAGCAAAAGTCACTGCAAGTACTTAAGAACACAAATTGGTTCCTATTCAGCTGTGAATTAGTACAAGGAAATAGACACAAGACAGTTTAGTGATATAGGAATTCAATGTATTTTTGTGGGTTAGAATGAATGATGGTTTAAGCATAAATGAAGACACAAAAGTAGGTGAATCAGCAAAGTCAACAATAAAAAGTGAATGTAACTGCATTGTGAATAATAATACTACAACTAGCCTCGACAGCACTCTAGGAGAGTGGCTAGCATATGGTGCAGTGTCCTCTGAGAGGTACCTCTTAGCATAAGCAATAGGTGAAGGTCTCTGTGTAGCAGCTGTAAAGAGGGCATCTTAAGTCGTAATGCTGCAGAGGGCTAGCGTTGGGACCCAGTTGTACCATTGGTGCACACGAGAATAGTCCCAGTTTAGCTTGCAGGCAGGCAAGGCTACTAGATAGCTTTGTGCTAAGTTGCTAAAGGGCTCACTCTCTCTCTCTCTCTCTCTCTCTCTCTCTCTCTCTCTAGCAGCAGAGAGTAAATGCCCACATCAGCATCTCACCAGTCCTGGTGATATTGCAGCTCACCATCCAGTCACACACAGTGATTAGTTCACTCTTGGCTCTACACCAAGGGGACTGTCGGCACACCTGGACTCAACACTCTGAATCCTGCTTAGACCACCATTATGCAGCAGTTGTGGTGCACACTGGACAGCGATGTGTACTCTCATGGTAAGAGGACACTGTGTCCTGTACAGCCTGAGAAAATGCAGCTCTTCCCCCTTCTCCTGGCAATTTCCCTTTGGGAAATACAGTTCAAAATCTCTTGATTTGCAGTAGAGTCTCTCTCCTCTGAAGTACAGTTCCCACACTGTAGTACTGCCTGACTCAGTATATTGAACTCTTCCTACACAGCAGCTCCTTCCTCTTACTGACATAGCTGTTAACCAGTTCAGCACCAAAGGGCAGCAGCTACAGAGAGCCACTGCAGCCAACGTTTCTCTCACTCTCCATGCTTAGCCAAGCACCCTGCTACACAAGCAAATTTTAAAAAAATATATACTGTATATGATGCATACTTTTATTAGCATTAACATAGCAGTGTTTTTTATCCCCTCCTATAATATTGTTTTATTACCTGTTGATCCTGCCAGTAGATTTTTTATTTTTTTTTACTTAGAGCCCATTCATACCACCGGGATCGCTTTATGGTGTGTATAACACTAGCATGCTGTTGCGCTTTATGCATTTGCACTGCAATGCATTGTTATAACACATCACAGTGTTTACTTTTTAACTTTATTGACATGTCACAAACTGACACTTCATTTCATTTTATACACACCAAAGCTGTTCAGGTGTGGGCAGGGTTCTTCTTGAAATTTGCCACTCTGATGGTACGAGCAGACATTTGGACTCTCAGCAAAAGGAAGGGTATTGTTTTCCCAAGAGAGAATGCACATTTGATGTGAATATGCTTTATTGGTGATTTCTGTGGTACCAGCAACCGGTGGTTGCTTATTAGCCCTTATAATCCATATGCCACATACTGTGGACAGCAGAACAGCGTTCTAAAGATTACACATGGATGTGGTCAATATAGATTAAACTTATTTCCACTCCGTTATATGTACATTGATAAAGAAACAGTTTTTGTGAACTTGGCCACATATGGGAGTTTTATGTAGCCTTGGATGTGATACATCTGCAACTTTGGAGGCTAATGTTATATGTGCACCATACACATTACTGAATCAATTTGATATGAGGGCACATATTGGCAGGTATAGGTACAGTCTGACTACCATGCCCTATGTGGGAGCATTTGCGTTGTGCTGGATGCTTCAACCTCTGTGTAGTGAAACATATTACATCTGCACATATAGTCATTGACTATAGTTACTGAGACATTACCTGCATGTGTTATTGGATGATATGAGGACACATACTGGCATATACTAGCTCAAATGTAGGCAAGGTCAAGCCCCCTTTAATTTTAGGCACTCATTAAAGGTGGAGTCATGATGTCATGTCGGTTCTTTATAAAGGTGGGAGATGCGTGGAGTGAGAGACAGCCTTGAGCCAGAGAAGTGAGAGCAACAGAGATGGAGTTGTGTGTTCTCCCCTTTTGGATAGGGGCTTGGAAGGACTACAGAGCTTGGGCCCTGGAAAGGGATAAACAGTGTTGTGAGAGTGTATAAGCAAAGAATTATTATTACTTGGAACTCTCTATTTACCACTGGCATGGACTGTTTTACAAACTTTTTGACCACAAAAGTTATTTCTGCAAGCCGAAGCCTCTGTGTGATGTTCTTCTGGAAGCGATGAGTTAAGTACAGCCAATGCCTTGGGTGAAGAGTTATGCAATTTACTTGTGCAAATCTGTTTGGCTCTGGAGTGGGTGGTGAAAGAGGAAAAGGAATCCTCTGTTTGGTGGTGAGAGAAAACCCCCTTATGTATCATGCGTCAGGTGGCCTGGGCCCCCTGGTCTCATAGGGCTCAGGTGGTTGGTTAGACCTATGGAGGCCTATGCAACTGTAGTCTGGGCATTAAGAGGTTAAAGTGGACAGTGACCAGAAGGATATGGTGGGAAGGTCTAGGACCTGCAGCTGTGCACGTGAGTGGATTTGGGCAGAGAATATGCTTGACGCACTAAAGACCCTGCATGTAGGTGGGGCCCAGCTGCACGTGTCAGAAGCTTGGGTACCTCACCTTGCAAGTACATGTTATGAGGCCATTTTTGTTGTATTGGATTCGTCAACCTGTGTATACGGCAACATATTTCATCAGCATCACTGAAATATAATAAGGATTAAAGTATATTACGGTTACCACACTGGTTATGAACAACCTTTTCCAAAAATGTCATGTGTTCACCGCATGGATGCTTATGGTCTGCTGTTTTCCACATTCTGTGGGTGCTTGCTATTTGAAATACATACATTTAGTGCTTGAAAAAATTCCTGGAGAACATTTTCCATTGAACTGGGAATCTCTAATGACTGTGAATTCTATAAAAATTACAACCTTTAATAATCAGCATGCAAACTCTGGTGCAGCTCTGCATAGAAACCAATCAGCTTCCGTGTTTTTTTTTTTTTTTTTTTTCAAAGCTTAACTACGTGCAGCCTGGACACAGTACATTTACTGTAGGCAGCAGCTACAGGCTAGGCTGTACTCTCTGCCTGTTTCCAGGTTTTCAAGCACAGATGTGTGTGCCCCCTTCTCACCTTTGCTGTGGTTGGACATATAACAAGTTTGTCAGTTTGTCAGGTTACAGCCAATGATTTTGACTGTATACCTGCTGATCGGCTGTGGCCAATCACAGAACAGAGTTCTGTGTTTACAAACACACAGAATTTGTCACACAGAATAGCAATCTGGCTGCCTCTTTTCCCTGAAATGATCTCTGAGTTCAAAGAGAAAAAGCAGCTAGATCTCTGAGTAAAATCGGCACTTGTTAATCTTGTTAGGCACACAGTAACCCACTTGACTTTAACCCCTTCCCTGCCAGTGTCATTGGTACAGTGTACAGTATTATCACTGATATTAGTGTCACTAACAACATTAGTATCAGTTAGTCCGTGTCCCAACTAGCCACTGCCTGCTAGCGCCAGATTGCCTGCCACATTATTACAGTCACACTATAAGTCACTCATCACTGCCATTACCAGTATAGCATTATAGCTGCATAAATTCCAGCATAAATACCATAGTTTGTACACGCTACAACTTTCACAGAAACCAATTGATATACACTTTTGGGATTTTTGTTTTTCACCAAAGATACAAAATACATTTTGGCCTAAATTTATAAAGAAATTTTTATTTTTTATGTTTTATAATAGAAAATATTGTGCTTTATTCACAATTTTTGGTATTTTTTCATTTATTCAATAAAAAAAAGAAAGCTCTATTTGTGTGAAAAAGGTGACATAAATTTTATTTGGGTACAGTGTTGGATGACCAAGCAATTGCCAGTTAAAGTAGAACAGTGCTGAATAGCAAAAAATGGCCTTATCATGAAGGGGATGAAAACTTGTGGAGGTCAAGTGGTTAATTGAACAAGCTGAAGTTAGAAGCTGATTGGGTACCATGCAGATTTTGCATGTTCCCATTTTAGTAAATCAAACCCATTGTGTTTTGGGCTCAATTTTGTCTCAGAAGAACATCTATCATATGGAGATATGGATATATGTGTAATAAACATAGAAAAGTGACGGCAGAAAAAGACTAAGTGGTCCATCACCCAACACACAGATACTTTGTTTAAACCCACCCTGATTTTGAAAGGGAGGGGGTAGGTCAATTTATGAGTTGTTTCCATTGTTTTAAATGTTTTTGCACAATAAAAATCCAGTTTTGCATGGATGTAGAAAATTGGTTTCTTTGGTGCCTTATTTGCAAAAGTTGAATCCACAGTTGATACAGTAATTGGGTAACATTCACCCACTTGTGATACTAATAACAGTCACATGTGTTCTTCTGGTGTTTTGAGAGGTCTTCCTCCAAAAAAGATGTATACCTCCAAAAGCACTGGTGACTGATGCTAACGGAGGGCCCATTGCCATTCCAATAGTCTGACTATAAGGAAACAGCAGGCTGAACTACAAAAAGACATACCGTAAATGTGAAACATATATACAAATATGGTTTTCGTGTTCCCCATATTGTCATATTTTATTAAATATACCTCTATACAACCTTGAAGTTTCTATCATGGACTTACCTGTACATATCCTCTAATAAAGAAAAGAAAATAAGCAATTTTTTTAAAACTACAACTGAAACTTACATGTCCCACAAATTATAAACAAAATTTCTTCTGATTGCTGAATAAGGGTCTGAAATATTCATTCTGCTATTTACTGGAACCCTGTGAAGAAAAAATGACCATGAGATATTTCATAAAACAATTATTTTAATAATAATATTAGTCATCTCACCACTACCTTATAGGTACAGTATTCATTTTTCAGCTTTTCTTTGCTCCAATAGCATCAACTATCCAGAAAGCCCAGAGCAAACTATGCTCACAGTCTGTATTGCAGTGTATTTTGATGAAACTGCCAAATTATTTTTTCAGTAATGTATAGGAGTGTGAACTTTAATGTCATTTATTTATAACAGGTATTTATATAGCACCATCAAATTACACAGCTCTTTTACATATATTGTACATTCACATCAGTCCCTAACCCTGAAGGAGGGTACAGTCTAAGGTCCCTAACTCACATTCATACATACACATACTAGGGCCAATTAACCAACCAGCATGTCATTGGAGTGTGGGAGGAAACCCACGCAGGCACAGGGAGAACATGCAAACTCCACACATGTAGTGCCGTGGCTGGGATTCAAACCAATGATCCGAGTGTTGCTAGGTGAAAGTAACAGCATAGCTCTTTTTACCATTTACTGTATGCCAGTTTTTATCAATTCCAATTATTTGTTACAGCATTCTTAAAGTCTTACTAAACCCACAACAGTAAAATCAGTCTGTATATGCAGTAAAGCATGCTTGTTATACTGACTGTGGAACATAAGGGGTTAATCCTCAGCATTGTGTAAAATGGATGTTTGATCCTCTCTTCTCTGATACTCCCATTCTTCTGATGTTTCCTAAATATCTGCTGATAGAACAGAGGCTTGGGAGCAAGCTGCACATGCTCAGTTTGGCGTGTATTGCTAGAGAGGATTTTTTTTTCTTGAGAGAGTACATGTGATCGGCACAGGACCAATCAGCACTCTCCAAACAGGTCAGGGGTTCTGCATCCTTCTACAGGTGAATGAAAACTTCTCCTACAAGCTTTAACGTGTGCTCTACTGGACACTGATAGAAGTCAAAAGACTGCTCTAACTGCTGATGAGAAAGGGTATTTAGCAGTTTATATTTACTAAGATAATTGCATTTCCATGTTCTGTGGGAGATCAGATATAGTGAATGCAGGGTCCTGGGTTTAGTAACACTTTAACCGTATCCTTTTAGATCCTGAAGGAAACGAACTGAGAGAAAGAAGTTGAAATAAATGGCAAGTGAAAATGCTTGTTGATTGCCTATCATTCTAATTCAATGCTTTCTGAAACACTGGCTTGGAATAAAGATGTAGCAGAAGATAGTAGATTTAAAGATTCCCTGTCCCAAAAATGGAATTCCACAAAATGTTTTCCCTGCCAAAAAGAACATTGCAAATACCCACCTCTTCCACTGCTTGTATGTTACATGCAACTGACCAGCACTATGTGGGGTTGATTTACTAAAACTGCATGGTGTAAATCTGGTGCAGCTCTACATAGAAACCAATCAGCTTCCAGGTTTTATTGTCAAAGCAATAAATTGAACAAGCTGAGGTTAGAAGGTGATTGGCTACCATCAAATTCTGAGGGCTCCAGTTTTAGTAAATCCACCCCTCTTTGTTACACTGACCCCCACACTTTGTATGTTGCGTATATCTCACCTCTATACATTACTTACACCTGAAACCTGCACTCTGTACATTGCATACACCTAACCCCTGTACTCTGTTTGTTTCATACACCTGTAAAAAAGAATCATTCTTATGGTCTTTTACCTATTCATACTATTTAGCACAAGTCCATTTTTACCAGTCAGACAAGTAAAATAATGGCCTGGTGGCAAACCTGTGTATGTCACACCCTCTTGACTCCTAGATCCTGTGTATTTCATACTCCCAACCACTGCACTCTGTACATTATACTCCTGACCCCTCAACTCTGTATGGTACATACTCTGAGCTTACAGACAAACTGTCTGTAAGCTCCTTAGCCTTGCACTCTATGTGCTGGACTGTATGTCACATACTCTTGACTCACATCCTGTACAATGGACTATATGTTAACTTTACTTTGGTATGCTGGGCTGTACATTGTACTCTTGTTCACTGCACTCTGTGTTGGGTCGTACATTTTACTTCTGATCCAAGCATTCATTGTCCCAGCAGCTGCCTGTAGCTTAAGTTACGTTTTTCTTAGAGGTAGTCCTAGGCTCAGTGTTAGCTGTCTGCCAGCCTGTCTGTTTTATGTTTTATATGCCATCCTTTGTAACCCCCCCCTCGCACACACACATTTTCCAAGTTCATCTGCCAATGTACACTTGGTATAAGTTTCTATGAGAAAACGTATAATATTGAAGATATACCTGTTTAAAAATTTCATTGACATCATTTTTTCTCTGTTGCTGATTTTTGCTCCTCACTTGTTCATGTTCAGTGGGAGTTGCTGGAAATTAACACGTGCCTTTTCCCACCCAGAGCCCTCTTAAATAGTGTGTACAATTATAGATGTGTTCTTTCTAATTTTGGGAACAATGATAGGTGGGATTTTGGGCGTTGTGGTGACCATGGTAGGCCTTTCCTTTTGCAGTCTGTATACATGCCCACAAAGCTCAATCATCATTAAATGATTGATGGCAGAGAAATGAATAGTTTTAGGAGGCAAGCCAATAGTTTAAAGAAGGGGTCTACAAAGTTTCTAAACAAAGGGCTAATTTAGTGTCCTTAAGACTTTGAGGGGGCTGGACTGTGGCCAGTGAAAGTAGAAAATGCCCTGGCTTCAATGGGAGTAAACATTAGTGGGAGGAATATTGCCCCATTGTTGGGACCAGGGGAAGGAATAGTGCCCCACCGTTGGTGTCAATGGGAAGAATAGTGCCTTGCCATTGGTGTCATTAGCAGGAATAGTGTCCCATTGTTGGGGTCATTAGTAGGAATAGTACCTTATTTTTGGTATCAGTGACAGAGATTATGCCCTTTTGTTGATGTCAGTGGTAGTTATAGTGCCCAAAAAGCCAGATAAAAGCAAGCAAAGGGCCTCATTCGGCCCCCGGGCCACAGTTTGGAGACCACTGGTGTAGCCTCCCTGTTTCAGCACCACAAGCGGTAACCCCGAGCTACACTCGGGAATACCCTGCAGCGCTGCTCTGGGATCTCTTCTGCACTTACCTTGTCCTGTGCTCCCGCGATGTCCCTAAAGCTTCCCTTGAGGTCAAATCGGTTTTAGACCAGCTAGAGAACAGCGATAGTAAATCAGAACCACTTGCAGAATTGGGTGATAATGATTCGTGGGGAAATTCGTCATCAGACACTGAAAACAATTTTGCGACTTTGCTCAGCGATGTGCAAACTTGGCGCTCTATTTCAAATTTCAGTGTTTTTGGTTTGATTATATTATTGAATTTATTATTATTATATTATGTTTTATGATTATTTATTAAATTATAATTTATGTTTTCGTGTTTCAAGTTTTATCCTACCCGGGATGTTTACTAGACTCTTGTTCGGACAGATTTCAGTGAGTTATTCCTAAGAATTACAGGCCTACAATATAAAACGCCAAATTTCCATGCAAAATAATGGCACCGCTTTCAGCACCAAAAATCTGAAATAATCATACCGCCAGGGAGGTTAAAGGATAGCAAGGGGAGTAGCTTACACCATTGTAGGTCATTAAGATAGAAATTAGGAGGGCATCAGGGAGACAATGTGGATTTGTTATGTGGATTTTGCAGAGATGACAGCAGAAATGCTTGGGAGATCTCCCATCATTTTCTGGCAATGTGAAGCAACAGGAAATTCCCATCTTAGTGATTTTTCATAGGAATATGTGTTCAATTGAAGGACTTTTCCTTAACTTTTCCTTTGATGACAACTCTAAAATGTTGTATTTCACTTTCTTTGTTTGTGACAAATAGAGGGGATGGAAAATCTTATTGGCACCGTGACAATCTCATAGCTATAAGTTACGTTTGTCTTCTCTCCTAAGGAAACCCAGGAAGCTCTGCTATATCAGTGCCAGGGGTCCACTCTATAGCAGGGGTCCTCAAACTTTTTAAACAGGGGGCCAGTTCACTGTCCCTCAGATCATTGGAGGGCCGGATTATAGTTTTAAAAAAAAAACTATGGTCATCTCCTGTACTGTGTCCGCATTTGTTCAGAGACTGCCGACATACAACGGTGGTGGGAATACTGGGCCGGCCACTATATAAGACGCACAGACATGTCCCCCCCAAGTGTGTCTTATGGAGCGAAATAGTGACCCATCATTGGTGTCAGTGGGAGGCATAGTGTTCCATCATTGGTGTCAGTGGGAAGAATAATGCCCCACCATTGGTGTCAGTGGGAAGAATAGTGCCACATCATTGGTGTCAATGGGAGGAATAGTGCCCTATCATTGGTGTCAGTAGGAGGAATAGTGCCCCATCATTGGTGCCAGTGGGAGGAATAGTGCCTCATCAATGGTATCAGTGGGAGGAATAGTGCCCCATCATTGGTGTCAGTGGGAGGAATAGTGCCCCTTCATTGGTGTCAGTGTGAGGAATAGTGCCCCATCATTGGTGTCAGTGGGAAGAATCGTGCCCCATCATTGGTGTCAGTGGAAGGAATAGTGCCCCATCATTGGTGTCAGTTGGGAAGAATAGTGCCTCATCTTTGGTGTTAGTGGGAGGAATAGTGCTCCATCATTGGTGTCAGTGGGAAGAATCGTGCTCCATCATTGGTGTCAGTGGGAGGAATAGTGCCTCATCATTGGTATCAGTGGGAGGAATAGTGCCCCGTCATTGGTGTCAGTGAGAGGAATAGTGTCCCATCGTTGGTGTCAGTGAGAGGAATAGTGTCCCATCATTGGTGTCATTGGGAGGAATAGTACGTCATTGGTGCCAGTGGGGGGGGGGAATAGTGCCCCATCATTGGTGTGTCAGTGGGGGGAGGAATAGTGCCCCATCATTGGTGTCAGTGGGAGGAATAGTGCCCCATCATTATTATCAGTGACACCAATGATGGGGCACTATTCCTCCCACTGACACCAATGACACTTAACTAGCCGACCCCTGTTCCAGCATGGTGCTGCTGCAGCCAGCATACCTGGCTGCAGCAGCACCATCTGCACGGCACACTTACCGGGCGGTCAGCTGTCGTCCTTCCTTCACTTCGGCCTCTCCCTCCCTTGAATTTCGCAGGGCCCGCTCGGCTCCGCCTCCTCGCCGGTGATTGGCTGCCTGTGTGCCTTTCCTGAGCTACAGTACTGGCGCCCAATCACCGGTGAGGAGGCGGAGCCGAGCGGCAGCGCGGACATCAAGTGAGGGAGCGGCCGGAGTGAAGGAGCTGCGCATCCTGGACTGGATCGTCATGGGACTGGGACCGGAGCCAGGTAAGAGACAGCAGCCCCCTGCTCACCCCTGTACTTAGTGTCCCCTGCCAGCGGGCCGGATGAATGTGCTCGGTGGGCCAGTTTGAGGACCCCTGCAGTTTAGAGGACCCCTGCTCTATATTAAGGGCTCATACTATACAGGCATATTAATTTTTATCATAATATAAAATGTTAGTGAACAAATAAAAAAGTATAATAAAATTAACCAGCCTGAAGTGGACAGTGTGATTCCAATGGACGGCCCGTCCGCTCTGAGGGGAGCTGAGATCAAGAATACTTCAAATATCAGCGTACCAGCGTCCTTAATATAATAACGAAATACTAATAATTAAGGGCTCATGCACACTAACATGTTTACAGTTGCGCTTTGCATATAGGTGTAATAGGTGTACAACATAAAATACCTCTGCATTTTCAGCACCCTGGATCACCAGCTAGCACTTAATTCTGCCCATAGGACTGTATTAAAATATACTTTAAGCAGTCATATAGCTGTAAACACCATTACTCAGCCACACAAGTATGGGTGTAATTTCCCAAACATCAAACTGTGAATATGGGAAATTTTGCTCACACAGGTGTATGTGTAAACGCAAGTACCAGCATTTGCAAGCATATACACACTTGCAGCATACAGCATATTCTGTCAATACAGTGCTATGGGCAGAATTACACACCATCTGGGGCTTCTGGGAGGTGAATAAACAGGCATATGCCTGTATGGGGCAGCACAGTGGCTAAATGGTTAGCACTTCCACCTGGCAGTACTAGGGTCCGTTGGTTCAAATACCAACCACAGCGCCACCTATCTGCAGTTTGCATGTTCTCCCTGTGCCTGCATGGGCTTCCTCCAGGTACTCCAGTTTCCTCCCACACTCCAAAGAAGTGATAGTAGGTTAATTTGATCCTGTCTAAATTGGCCCTAGTATGTGTATGTATGAATGTAAGTTAGGGACCTTAGATTGTACACCCCTTGGGGGTTAGGGACCAATGTGAATATACAATATATAGGTAAAGCACTGGATTATTTGACAGCACTATATAAGTATCTGTAATAAAAATAAATTAAATAAGTGTGTATGAGCCCATAGAATACCAGTTTTAAAAAATGTAAATAACTTTGACCAAAAACTTTCACATTTTCAATCTGAGATTGAACACAATGACACTTACGTTATCACAATATTCCTTTCTAAAATCTCTTCTCCTGGGCTGTCTTTTGATGGGATAAATCTTGAGGTAATCTTGACACATTTGCATTTGTTATCTACCAAGATGTGTTCTTGCTCCCTATAATACTGCCCTGGAAACACATAGTATTGACTTCAGGAAAAGAGTGCAACTTATATGTAATATAACAAAATATCAATATAAAAAGCAGACACAAGCTGATGTCCTGAAAAGAAAAACTGCAGTAAAATTAGGACTGTAGAACATAATTTGCACCTATTTCAAAAACTAGACCCAATTTTATGTTCCAAGTACAATTCAACTTTATATACATACTGTATTAAGATTATAAGGTATTACAACTGATATTTAATTAAATTGTTTGATTTGTGAAATAGACATTGTTTGAACTCGTTATTGAAGGCCTTTTTGCTTTATTATTGCTGTCTGAGTGAGCAATTTCACGGAGGTACTGTTAATATCTGCATGTTTATATGCATTACAGGTTCAGTGGGTAAGAAAAAGTCCTTCATGATGTATCTCTTAGGTGGTTTCCTGCAAAAGGTGTATTACATGAAGTTCCATGCTAAGAAATGTGAGGGGTACTTAATGCACTTGCAACCCACTGCACCATCAATGCACAGATGTAAATGGGTATTTATTTTTCTGTGCAGTATTTTTAACCTGCCTGGGGAAGGTCATATGTTCTGGTACAAGCTCCTCTAGTGCGGTACGTAATACAGAAGTATAGTGCTTTCTAGGTAGTGCAATGATTCTTATCCCCTCCACTCTCTATCAGTCAATAAAAATGGGATTGTTAGCATATTTTCTTCACTCACAGAACAGTAGTTGGATGCATGCGGTTTACTCACTGAATGCCCTTGCAGCTCTATATAGTATATAACGAATCACTGAGCAAAATAATCAATTCACATCCAAAATACCTGCCATTAGTCATTGGTTGGTTTATAACTAATGGCAAGAAATGCTAGTTGCCTAGTACTGCAATGGTTTGAAAAGAGAAATATGGCTTTAGTTTTTTTTTTTTCCCAAATTATACTTACCTATGTGGATGAAACATTGGTCCGATGTTGCATCTGTCCCCCGCTGGCTTAAAATGTGAGAACTCACATGACCGCTGATTGCTGAGTTCTCACTGCCGCTCTGAGCTCTATCCCCATGCACTCACTGGAGCACTGGGCTGTAGAGCGAGAGGGAGCTGCTGGTTCAGGCTCTTTCAACGGCTCACTGAGCCAGGATTTCGTTCCAGACTCTGGGGTGGATCCCGAAATTACAAGTTGGGATCTTTGCCCCCAGCTTGATTACCAGCTGAGTGACGTCATGCCGACAGCAGGCTTCAGCCCAGTGTCAACAAAAATTTTCACAGGAGTGCAGAATGAACTGCACTCCTGTGATCCACAGGAGAAGTACAGCCAAAAAGCTTTGGCTATACTTCTCCTTTAACATTTCTTTTTTATTGTCAATTTAGAGTACACCTGGACTAAATGTTACATACAGATTTTTTCTAAATGAGATCTGAAATCCTCAGTTCTCCCCCAAAACTGCAGGAAGACTGACAACAATGCTTTAAAAATTATATGTAAAGTAGGCGCTGGCCCTTTGAAAACTAAAATGTTTATAATACAGTGTCTTGAAACAACATGAAACTAAATATCAAAAGTATATAACGAATACATAAGTGCAAAATAATCAATACAAAGTCCAAAAATATCTTGTGGAAAATTCCCAATCATTGGTTGGTTTGGACATCTATGGATGGACATAATAGTTGACCATGTACTGTATGGTTGGACTGAATACAGTGGTCGGAATCTGGTGAGTGAGCAATTCACCTTCACTTGCACGTGGTGCAGCACTTTGTTTAAATGAAGATTTTTGTCATCACCTTCAAGAAAAATATTTTTGGACCTTTATATTTATTATGTTGCACCTATGTGTTTGTTATATATTTTTGATATGTAGTTTCTTGTTCTTTCAAGACACTATATTATAAGAATTTTGGTTTAAAGTGCCAGCGCCTACTTTACATATATTTCTCACACGGTGGATAGTGTGTTTGCTACACTTTAAAAGCGGCAGCTGCCTAATTGAATTCACTTACAAATTTTGTGGGTTGGTGCCCTCTCAGTTTCTTTTATTAAAAGTACTGGCAACAATGCCTACAAGAGTGGGTTGAAAACCAGAGTCTGTGGAAAATACATTTTACTATGTATTGCTAATTTTTATATATACATTTGTAGCTAACAAATTTGTTCAGGGTGGGGGGCTAAGAAATTGGAGTAATTTACATTTAGTAAAAGTAATCTTAATAATCACAATTAAAATAGTATGAATCAAACCAAAAATAAAATACAATTTAAATATTTTTTCTAAATTGATATGAAAATCCACTGTTCTCTGTTCTGATTTTAGTGGAGAAAGACCTTATAAACTGCTCATGTGAATATGCTTTCATGCATTTTAATTTATTGGCTCTGACAAGACAGTTGAGAACTCTTCGGTGATATGCTCATGCATATGTACAGACAAAAAAATCATGGCATTATGAATGTTAATAAATGCTACATTGCATTCACACATGGGTGGAAGTTGCAAGGGTTGCAAATGGTGACCCCACCCATGCTCCAGGGGGCCTGCAGTCACACCCGGGGACTTCTCTCCACTCTACGCTTGCACCATATCATGTTAGGTTTTACACTGTGTCACTGGGGAAAAGCGCTTGCCACATTACACTGCATAGTGAACTCAAGGGACCTGGACAGGCCCACCCAGGCCCGTCCCGGGCCCGCTGAGATTCCGGTTTCACCTACACAGGATGACAGGCCTAGTCCTTTCCCCCAGCTACGTACTCTCTACTCAGCCCCCCCTGCCCAGCCCAGTGCAGCCCCTGCTCAGCCATGCATGTGCACACAATGTGGGGGTAGGCAGGCCACATTCTGAGCTGCTGGGTGAAAGCAGTGGGCTTATATGTGAATCTGGAAGTCAGAGGACCTGGCAGGTAGTGGGTGGGACCCAGGTCAACTTTTGTTTAGGGGCCAACAAGCTTGTAAGCTACTGTGTCCAAATTTACATGCTACAAGAGTTAGTATAGCATTAGTTGCATTATCAATACATCTAAATTTAAAGATTTGGTTTTAAATTGTACAGATTGCTCTCCAATCACAAATAAGTGTGTTGTTAGAATTGCACTAATATGATTACAATCAACACAACAATTTCTAGAATTCAGATATATACAGGCACAGATATGTCAGATTTAAAATAGCAGAAGAATGCAAAAATGTTTGTCATTTCATAAGTAGAATGGTAATAAGTTCATTGTAATGTAACAATAAGTTTATTCTGTCCTAAAATTTCTCTTCACCTTTTCCTGTGAGTTGATGGGATGTACATTCATAATTAGCTTGTTACAAGCTAAGTATGTTAAATGCATTAAATTTGAGTAAATTCAGGAAATTAATTCCTTTTGCACTTCTAGGGGTAGAGCAAGAGCAATGGCTTGGTGGCCATGGCCCTAATAAAGCAGAACCCAAGATTCTATACACCCTCTATTGCTAAATAGTGATGAGCTTGGGCGTCCTCCAAATTTATTTTTAACTCAATCTCCAAACTCCTACTTTTTTCAACTCCAAAGAGGTACAGTTCCGTGGAATGACCTGGCCTGCTGCTCATTGGAATACACAAGTGGGAGTTCAGAGCTCATCTTTATCACTAAATACTGAGTATGAATTAGTTTGTTACACATCAATTTCACCTTTTGAATGAGAGAAGCACTTGAGTAAGGGCTATATGAAAACTTTTTATATAGAAGCAGTACGTTTAAACCAAAGGAGAAGTGAAACTATCTACATTCATACACATTCCAAGTATACATTTCACAGAATAAGTTTCACATTCAAATTGCAGATAGGTCTTTAATAGGCATATGGATTAAAAACCCTTATTCTAACTTTTGTATGTGCTAGTTAGATCAAAAGTCAGGTAAGCCAATAAGAAATACATACTAAAAGATAATTTTTGAATACTAAGTAACTTCTCATTATTTTCTATAACACAGTTGTACTGATCAATATGTGCTAAGATGCTGTGTTAACCATCTTTATTGCTAGTGCTCACACACTGTATATAATATATAATATAATCAATTGAAGCTGATACATTTTGTTAACTTTTATATTGATGAAAACTTATGTAAATGAAGTTATTCTGCAAGGAACTGAAAATAAATTTTGTTATAGGTTATGAAATTGAAGCATTTAATAGTACTAAGTAAAAAAAGTAAAACAATATAAACTACCTATTTATGGCCTACTTTTGCCCACTCTTCACATACCTGTCACACATGCAGCAAATAGCAGCATAAGGGCTGCTGATAATACACAGCATCTGTCCATCCTTCAGCTTTTTCTTACAAAGATATCCAGGAGAGAATTGACTCTTATAAGAGGGGGTGGGGGTCATTTCTGAAAATATATGCTGCCGAAAATAACCTCTTGGGTGGTTTCAGTACTGTAAACAGATGTTATTCTCTATCCTTATGCAGAGCGCATTTCTGCAACCTGCAGGAGTCAAACATTTTAAACAGACAGTAACATTTTTAGACTAGCAATAGTACATATTTTAAATGATCTAGATTTGATACTTAGATGATGATGTGGGCTTGAAAAGGTTTTTGGTCTCTTGGGTCAATGGTGCACCCAAATCCACCCAAAACCACAGATTTTCAGAACAAGAGAGAGCAGTTCAGTTGACCCATAGGAAAAAAAACACATTTGCATAGACTTCCCACTATCATAAAATGAATGAGAGATAATCTTGATATTTTGGGATTTGAGATGGCATGCACATAACTTATGCTTAAGAAGGCTCTACCATATTTTACAGTGGTGAAATCAATGTCTTTTTGGCTCATTTTAGCCCACTTCCCCATTGCCTATCTGGTCATAGCTCCTTCCTGGTCTCCAAGCCCACCTCCATAGAAGCCATGGTTATTGAACACTAAACTGATGTGACTGACAAATCTGATGTAGCTGTATGCTGTTTGTATTAAATTGCTTTATAATGTTTGATTTTATCTGTCCGTTAAAAGCCACTTTCCTTAATGTGCAAATGACCCAAGAGCATAAATGGATGACTTACATAATTCCCTCCAACTAATATGAGGAAGTAAACCCTTATTATATTTTGGATTCAATATAGAAGTGAGACATGCAGATACTTTCTGTTTTAGGACTGCTCTACTGTACATTTGCAAATCACGATAACTTACTTGTTCTGACAAATCTGCATTGAAGTGTTCTTGGGTGCCAATAGGTATTGCCATATGGTGCTTGCTTTTTTCTAACCTGAGCTACAAAAAAATTACTAGAAAAAACAATTTCTTTAGAGAATATCACTTTATATTAAAGTACCACTAAGTGATACCCTTATTTTTTCAAAATTAGCCTGTACATATTCACTACTTAATGGTTTTTATCATCTATTTTAGAACCTCTCTTTTTCCCTTTCACTTAGGTTTGTTTGGAACGACCAGAGTACATTAGTTGCGGCCATGTGCGCTGCTCACTACAAGTTCTATAATCCATAGTCCTAAAATCTTAGTCCATTTCTAGAGCAAGCAAAGAGAATGGCTATGTTCCTAGATGCAGTAGGACCATGGAGAACAAATGTACCAAGAAGTCAGATCACAGCTGCAAACAAAGGAATTCTGAGATTTGGAGGAGGCTAAAAGCAATAGAAGATACCTTTTCTAAGTCAAAGAAGAATTCCAGATATGGAATTTTTAACTGGTATTTTTTACATACTATGCATATACCATACCTGTGGGATCCTGCTAAAATATAAAATTAACTGAAGTAGACACTGCTGATCCAGTGAACTTCACTTGATTCTGGGTCGTGTGTGGACGTTTTGCATTGTGAACATAGGGGGTTGGCCATTCAGCACAGACACTATTTGCATTTTTCCCAAATAATGCAAAGCATTCTCTGATTGGTTGAGGTGGAGAGTGTGATATCACGGCCCCACCTCTCCTATTCATCCAATCAGATAATGAGTTGCTTCTGAAGCAGTTCATTGTGCACAACATGGGCAACAATGTCATTAGCCAAGTAGAAGAAAATGGACTCTCCATACATTAGTCATTGCCTAACTTTGTTCTTTATTGTTTTCTTATATTTTTACATTCATTTTCACACCTCCAATAGTACTAGCATTTTTCATCACAAAATTATCTAAAATTATGTTTTGTTAGACCTTTAAGACAATTAGGGAATCTTGTATAGCATGTATGAATTTCTAGATTTGTATGATTACCTGCACTTTGCCCACATTCTTTGTCTTGATTAACAAGACTGTTGATTAATAATTAAATTATACTATCAGTGCAAAATAAACTTTTGTAAAATAATTTTCAGTTTATTTGTTTTTTGGATTTGGTTCTTCGTAAATGAAACCTGTAGATAGAGAAATATGTAGGTTGTCTTTGGGCTTCTGAAAGTAAAAGGGGCTTCTGAAAGTGATAGTTACCTGACAGTCACTGGCTTCAATTCTTCCAGAGTCAGTGAGCTGAACAAACAAACATGCAGATCAGTAGAGTCAGATTGAACTCAGGAAACCTAATTTGCATAGTTATTCCAGGTCAGCGACTCAAAAATGATGCAGCCATTGGACCACATTGACAGCCTAGAAACTAGCATTTAGTTTATAATATAGTGTAATTTCATTTAAAACTGAATCTGACACAAAGGGGTTGATTTACTAAAGTTGGAGAGTGCAAAATCTGGTGCAGCTGTGCATTGTAGCCAATCAGCTTTTAACTTCAGCTTGTTTAATTAAGCTTTGATCAAAAGAATCTGGAAGTTGATTGGTTTCTGTGCAGAGCTGCACCAGATTTTGCACACTCAAGTTTTGGTAAATCAAACCCAAGTAGTTTCCCCACATATTAGATTACTTCAGTACAGCTTAAAGAGACTCTGTCAAAACAGATTGTAAAGGCAATACCCTTCAAGTGAAGAAATGCTTGACTCACCTCTCTAGTAGCATGTTTCTCCTAAATTCCCCTTGTTTCAGTCCTGTAGCCTCAGTTTTTTTTGGCCTTCAAAACCTCCATGAGTTTTGGGTGCCAGTGTACACTGCTGTATGTTATGGTTCTTTCCTATGAACCCTAAGTGACTGCTGTGTCCTGTAATGACCAAAAAAAAAACTGGAAGTTGATTGGTTTGTATGCAGAGCTGCACCAGATTTTGCACACTCAAGTTTTGGTAAATCAAACCCAAGTAGTTTCCCCACATATTAGATTACTTCAGTACAGCTTAAAGAGACTCTGTCAAAACAGATTGCAAAGGCAATACCCTTCAAGTGAAGACACGCTTGACTCACCTCTCTGGTAGCATGTGTCTCCTAAATTCCATCTGTTTCAGTCCTGTAGTCTCCTACAGTTTTTTTGACCTTCAAAACTTCCATGAGTGTTGGGTGCCAGTGTACACTGCTGTATGTTATAGTTCTTTCTTACGAACCCTAAGTGACTGCTGTGCTCTGTGACATAAGGGTAAGAGATGACATTTCTTTAGGGGTTTGCTTATTTCAAAGTTGGTTGGCTATTTTATACAGCTATCAATTAAAGCTGAAGGTTAGTTAAATTTTTACCTTCTACAGCTTTAGTGACATTATTCACCTGTACTGTCATTCAGACGTTTGGGGGGGGACAGACTAGGGCTAGTTGTAGTAGAAAATGTCCTGGCATCCAGTGGGAGTAAACAATGCCCTATCTTTGGTGTCGGTAGAAGGACTAGTACTCCATCGTTGGTTTCAGTGTATTACACCATGTGCAGGCTGCTGGACTACGTATGGTTGCCCTGTCCTCTTCCTGTTGCACTTCCAGTGCTGAGTGCGGTAGGATAATTGCTTTGGGTCTCTGGGCTCATCTGCACTAAATATGATCACTCCTTTACTCCACTGAGAAGTTCATTAACTTACCACACTGCCTGGAATATGATCTATGAATAGGGGAAAGTCTGATCAGTAACAAGACTCCCCCCCCCCCCCCCCCAATTCACAGATTGTGTTACAGGCAAGTGTAATCAATGATGCAACTCTTCTCAATGGAGGAGAGGCAGGAGGGGGCATGTCCTTGTCAGATCATCTTTAGTGCAGCTGAGCCCAGGGACCCTCACAGCCTCTGAAGTTCAGCAGGAAGAGGGGCAGGGCAGCCCTGCATTGAAGATTTCTATAAAATCCAGCAGCCTACATGTTGTAGGGCTTGCTTTATTACAAGTAAATAATGTAACTAAAGCTGCACAGAAAAAAATGTATTTTGTTTAAATTCAGCTTTAATTTTTTTAAATTGTTAAATAAAGGCAAATTATAAATCCGTGTCACTTGGTGGAGTCTTTATTTTGCAGAATTGTAAAATATTTTTTAAAATAGGAGGACGAAAGTAATTGCCCAGCCCTCCAGTCAAGATGTCTGTTTGCACAGACAAGTCCAGGAGGGACTTATGCAACACAGACAGCTGCAGGGGCAGACGGACCATTTGGAAACTTGGGCACTGCCCGAGGGCCTGGGGTCAGTAGGGGGCCCCATGAGATGCCCCTGGTAGCTTTTTCATAGGCTTTTTTGAGTTTGGGCAAGGACACAGGGGCTCCATGATCCCCTATTGCCCGGGGGCCCTATGAGTTGTCAGTCTGCCCCTGGACAGCTGTGTTACTACCACTGACAACCCAGGTATGCAAATGTCACTGTAGTAATAAGGCAAGGTTCTAAAGTCACTTTTCCGGGCTTAGATACTCATCTGCGAAAGTTAAAATTAACCTGCTAAACGACTTTAACCCACAGCTACTGAAAATGCATTATCAGTTTTGGATTATCTAAACATCTTTAAAATAAGAACTCATGCTGTGGGTTTGCAGCCCTCTAAAATGCAATTGCATATGATATATAGTAACAATGTATGTATTTCAAAGTCTAGAGCAGCGGTCTCCAAACTATAGCTCTGGGGCCAGATGCAGCCCTTGGAGTATTATCCACCTACTGACATCAACAACAGGGCATAATTCCTGACACTAACACCAACAATGGAGCACTTTTCCTCCAACTGACACCAATGATGGGGCATAATTCCTAACACTGACACCAACAATGGAGCACTTTTCCTCCAACTGACACCTATGATGGGGCACAATTCCTTCCGCTGACACCAACAATGGAGCACTATGCCTTCCACTGACACCAACGATGGAGTACTACTTTCCTCCTACTGACACCGAAGACAGGGCATTGTTTACTCCCACTGGACACCAGGACATTTTCTACTCCAACTGGCCCTAGCCTGGCCCCCCCAAACGTCTGAATGACAGTAAACTGGCCCTTTGTTTAGAAAGTTTGGAGACCGCTGGT